GAATCTATTACAAACTTTCAAAGCTGCTGGTGAAAAACAGTGAAAAACTACAAAAAAATATAAAATAATAAAAATGGCCTGGCCACTTGAAGTGAAGAATGAAGGGCAGGGTCCAGTGTGAATGGGTTACAGGAGGGACACAGTTCCCATTATCTCAGTTCCCAATGTTTGATTCCAAAGCACAATAGTAAATCTATTGACATATTACTTTGTGGGAAGCTAACCTGTTATCCTTTTAGCAATGATGTAAAAAATCTGTAAGTTCTATGAAAATACTGTGAAAAAAGAATATACATTTTTTTTGTTGCTTACCTGACTTAAGTAACAATATTTGATCATTCTGGCACAGCTCCATAAAGCCTGTTATTCGCTTTGCAAACTCCACCACATACTGTATGGCATGAGTGATCTGAATGGCACACTGCTGCCACAAAGCTTCTCTGGACTGTAAAACACACAAATGTGGAAGAAAATCAAACAATCTGTTAAGACACCATTGGTGTATTTGTAGTGAGCATGAAATTTGCTTCTTTTTTTATTGTAATGTAAAACAAAATCATTATGACTTTTATGTTTATTACATACTAGCTGTACATATTTTGATTATAACATTGCATACTCCAGTTTATAGATTCTCTCTCTGGTTGCAAACTGCATTAAACATTAAGCACTTGATTGGTGATACTTGTCACATAAAACCTTACCACCATGGGCCACATTGGCAGACAGAGAAAGAACTGTTTTCAGTCTCCAGATTTGTCAACGTTCTTTAGGAGAAAGCCAGGGTAAGGTACAACTGTTGTTCAGCACAACTAAAGAGGAAGCAGGTACATCACGTTTTATTTCTAATGCGTATGAGCAGGGTCAGCTTTAAGCTCCCTGTGTGAGAAAGCTTCACAGTGCCTCTCAGTGACCACACCCTGCAGTAACCACACCCCTCAGTGGCCAAACCCATTTCTCCAATACCCGAACCATTTAAAGCCTCTCATTTTGTTAAGCCCCAAAGAAACAGTTAAAAAACTATGACAAAAACAAAACTTTTATTCAAAGGTATTAAACTTGTAGGCACAATATAAGCATTCTTATTAAATAAAACAACAGTAGGCAAACTAGTGGTTAAACAATAAAAGTCAAACTAAAATAGAGTCTATAAAAATAAAGTGTCATGCAGACCCTTTTTTATTAAATAGTGCATACTATTTACTAAAGCAATGTACATGGTGCACACTGTTGCACGTGTATATTATGTGTGTGTGTGTGTGCGTGCGTGTGTGGGGGGGGGGGGTGTTTTTTTGAATTATTTTTCGAAACAGACCCCTGACATTTCCCTTTTGAAATAGAAAAATAAATTGAGGACACAGTTTACTCAATCTCTTTTTCTACAGCCTCTGCACTGAATGAATGGAAAGCACTCAGTACTGAATAATATTTACTATCAACCAGTCATGAATGGATAGAATCGTCTGTACTGAGCTACCCATTCAGAAACTCATGAATGAATGAACTCATGAATTAATGAACTCATGAATGAATGAGCTCATGAATGAACAGGAATTGATGTAAAGTACTTCCTGTTCATTCATAACTGGAGACACATAGGGGTCTATTCACTAAGCTGCCGTAGGCAGCCAAGTGAATGACCGACCTAAAGCGAAGTGAGACGAACTGTAATGCCACCGACGGGGCGGCCTCTTGTTTGTCTGCCGCGCTCCTCTGCGTCCCACCGTGGAACGCGGAAGACGCACGAACTCCGGGTTGTGACGCGGCGGCTGCGTTCCACGGTGGAACGCGGAAGTGGTCCGGACCAATCAGCGATCCCTCCTCACTTCTTGGCCCTATTTAAGGGCACTGATGAGGCAGCATGGCGTTCTGTGATTGTTGTCTGAACGCCTGCTGCCTCACGAACCTGTGTATGGGACTGTCACCAACCGGACCCTTCTCATCCCCCTGCTGCCATCTGGAAGACGGACCTGCTCAGTTCTGCTACTGGAGTCACCTGGGAGTCTCAGCCATCACTCAGCTACTGCCAATCGCAAGTACCCTATCTGTGAGAGAGCACCTCTCCTCTGCCTGCCTGCAGGCTGATATGAACTGTGTATTAGACTTACTGAGTATCCGCTCTTAACCCTGCCGCAGCCACTGCATTCTAGTGTTTCAACTACCAACCCACAGTCTATGAAGCAATAGTACTGTGTTGAGTTGTGTTGTTTTTCCTTTGATCACGTGATGGTAGAATCTCAAACTCACCGTTGAGATTGTGAGTGACGCCTGAGATTCGTATCTGATTGATCCTATTACTCCGCAGTTGAGATCCACTATTGTAAAAACTGCAGACGTGACACGAACGCTGTTCGGCTATTCACTTCAGGCTGGTACGACTGATTTCAGCCGTATATCGGCTTAAATCAGCCTACATCGTGTGGCTTCGGGTCAGCCGAACATGCTCAGCATGTTCGTCCGACTTGAAGTGCAGAAGGAGTTCGACTCAGCCGGTCCAACATCTGGATCGGCTAAGCCGAACCTCCGACAGGCTACCCGCTGCTATTCGGTCTATTCTTACAGATGCCGAACAGCAGTGAGTGAATACTGTGGGACCGAGCAGTGGGAGCTCTGTGGGACCGAGCAGAACAGAAAAATAGTTAAAAATGTAGAAAAAAATAAATAGAAAACGATTGTGCAGAGCTAGCAGTGACAGCTAGCTCCACCCAACTGTTTTCTATTGGCCGGCGGTTCTGCTGCCGTCAAAAAAAAAGAAAAATAAACTTTCACCATAGGAATGCATTGCTAGCTTCCTATTGGATATTTCAATTTACAATAGCCAATAGCAAACTAGCTATTGTACCCGCCCTCTGCTGCTGTCAATCACTAGTGGGGACCTGATGGAGAACTGCAGCAGAGGGCGGGTACAATAGCTAGGTACAATAGCTATTGGCTATTGCAAATTGAAATAGCCAATAGGAATCTAGCAATGCATTCCTAGGGTGATTTTTTTTTTCTATTCTGACATGGCTCCGTGTCAGAAAAAAAAAAGAAAAAGCAGGGTTTCTCTCCTGGGCGGCCGGGAGCGGGAGACTCCCGGAGCGCCCGGGAGAGTTAGGCTGTCTGGAGATCAGTGTCCCTGGTTAGCTGGTAACCCAGGAGGCTGATCTCTCTGCAAGTGGCCGGAGCCAGCCGTAAGATCGCGGCTGGCTCCGCCCAGCTGTCAGAAGCAGGCTGTCGGCCGGCCAACGGCCGGCCAGCTTCGGCTTTCAGCGGGGCTCAGCCGAGGCATGTGCCTTCGGCTCGACTGAGCCGCTCGACCAAGTTCGGGAGCTGTACGGCTATAGTGAATAGCCCGTTCAGCAGCCCTTCGGTTCTACTGAACCGAAGGGGTCCTGGGGCCGAAGCTAGCCG